CTTGTAATATTCAAGGAAAAGTTGATGGAAAATACAAAAACGAAAGATAGCTTTCAAGGGTGACCAACAAACCTTAAAATGATGTTTGTGGTGATTATATGACAATTGGAAAAAATATATATATAAAAATAACATTTAACTTTTAAGTTATTTTATTTATTTCATACTTCTTATTAATTTTTATTTAATATTAAATTACAGTTTTATTTAAAAGATTTGTAGTTGATAATTAAATAAAAACAAACATTTTTGCTTTACCACGAAGAATAAATTAAATTAACAATTTGGTTAATTGATAAAACCTTTTACGAAGACGTATTTATAGTTTCTTTAAGCATTTTAAGAAATTTCTTATACAAACATATATTTTATAAAATGTTAATTATTTCCATAAAACGATATATTTACAAAAAAAATTACTCCACTTAAATATCTCATTTAAGTGGTATACTATTTGAGATTAATATGATGAATGATTTAGTCATACCTTATAATATCACCACCAGAAATCATTGTGCCATGCATTTCGATGCTTTGGTACACCTCCTGAGGAGATCTCTCACTACAACAAATATCTGAATTTGATATTGGAAACTCGATACATTTATTAATGGAGTATTATTTGCTATGTATCACCAACATAGCATGCTACCCGCTCAAGTCAATCTAGCAACTATTTGATCAAGATTTGCTACTATCTTAAACAATTGGCTACCCACCATGATCACTTGCAATCCATCGACTTCACTCAAGTCCATCTAGAATGGATCCACAATCTACATTTGTTGTCCGGTATTCTTTACTCTGTATTGCCAAAGCAAAACGCCACCTGCTAAGTCCATCTAAACAACTATATGATCACGAATTCCTATTGTCGTAATCAACTAGCTAATCTATCGAGTTGATGAGTCTGTGACTTGGAATTGAAACATCTTAAATGAATCCATAATTTTATGTATAATTTGATGCGTTCATGTATCGATCTATCATCATAATAATCAATTCTTAAAACCCACACTAAATAAAATAATTAGTAATGTATTAAAATTTGGGGTTTAATGTTTGTTATCATCAAAACAAACAAGATTGACAATAAATATAAGACAAATGTACAAAATGCACCAACAAGCACAACTAATAGTTTGACAATATCATGTGTTACGGTGAAACCATTACAATGTTATGAATTTAATATTACAATTTAGGAATATTATATGTCGATCCAGCTAAGTTTCTTAATTCATACACTAATTGAACTCATAATGGTGAGTGAGTTGACAATACAATATCTTAGTTGAAATAACAAACTTGTAAGTAAAACACAATTCCAAATACCATTAGTTGAATTATTAACGTTTAAAACCTAATAAGACTAGACATTGTTTGGAATCAAAGTAATAATCAAAATGTGGTCATCCTAACATCATATAACCATACCAAAAATAATCTCAAACAAATTAGCCTTCATTCTCTTCAGAAAAAACACATCTTCATTAAGGATGATTTTTTCATGGATGTGAGAGACGTTTAGGATTTTGAACTAATGATGACAAAATGTTGGGGACGAGTTGTTAATGATGATTCTAACCTTTAATGGTATTCTTGATGCGTTCATGGGGGGTTTGGAAGACGATTTTTGCCGTTGAAAATCACCAAAAAATCGTAAGAGGGATGCGGTTTTAAGGTTAGACTTTGTCTTCTAATTATAGGCAATGAATGAAGTTGAAATCATCAATAAGCGGTCATATTGTTATTTTTTAATACATCAATAGAGTTCAATGGTAAATGGCATAAAAAAATCTTTCAGTGTCAAAATATTTACACATGACAAAATTCATTAGTCATTCCTTGTTATGTCCTATAAGCTAGTTAAAAAAAGTTTAAAATGTTATTTAACTTATGATATTTATTAATAATTTAAGAGTATATTACACGAATGGTCCTTGAGGTATATGATAATTCTCATCCGGCCCCTATTTATTAATTCTGAAAGTCCCTTAGACTTCAATTTGCTATGTATACCGTCCCTATAAGACATAAAATGGCCGTTTTACTCTAATTCGGATTTCAAAAACCGGTCAAACTAATCCATAACATAAACTAATCCATAACATAAAAACAATCGTAGATATGCAAATAGGTCATCTATGGTGGGAAAAAGAAACAATATTGTACCTTAGATATGAAAATCGACACTCTTTTTTAGAATTCATACCAATAAACCTATTAATCAATCATTAAAAACTTTATGGCAAAGGAAACTGATCAAATGACTTATTTTTAGGCTATTGTGGTTGTGATGGGCGGTTGTGTGTGAGATGACAGCTTTCCGACAAAGGGAACCATGTCAAATGACTTCTTTTTTGGAAACCGTGGTTGCGATGTGGTGCATAACTCCACTTATGGTTGTTGTCACTTCCACCCAACAAGCCAATGCACAAATCTGTGTGTCCTTGAGGTGAATCATGGTTTTCTTTGCAAACTAATCTTCTCTTTTGCATTGCTTCATGTTGTATGTTTAGTTTTTTCTTAAATATGAGAGAGAGAGAGAGAGAGAGAGAGAGAGAGAGAGAGAGAGAGAGAGAGAGAGAGAGAGAGAGAGAGAGCAACTCATATAAAAATAAAACACATAATAAAAAAGAATTTAAAAAATAAGAAGGGTATATCAATCATTTTATATATATCAGAGACGAAAACCATAACCAAAGAAAGTTATAAAGGTTGTCCAAGTTAAAAAAATATTATTGACCAAACACACAAACTACTCTAAACCACATGTACAATTGGTGTAATTTAGAAGCTATTTGGCAGGATATAAGTTTTTAAGAGATCTAAACTTTTAAGAGGCTTTGAATTCTTAAAATTTTAATTTTTAAGAGATCGGGAAAGACAGTAGTAGGGAACATGGTGGTTATCGTTTGAAATAGAAAAAGTAGAGACAAAAAGATTTGCTGAAAAGTTAGGGTATTTCTAAAAAACATTTTTTATTTAGATACAATTAATTTTTTTTAAAATTAAAAGGCTACTAAACAATTAAAAAACAAAAATTAAAAGACTATCAAACATTCTTAATCTAAAAAATTAAAAAGCCTGACTCTTAATTAAAAAATTAAAAGGCTTCTAGATATAGTGTTGTAAATCAAATTTAGTTGGCTGATATTTGTTTCGACTTTATTTTGGTTATATAAATTTGAAAATGATAAAAAGCGCTTAAACTTTATAAAATGTTTTATCTGATGATAATGTGAAATAAGATTTTAAAAAAGCTGTTTTTTTTTTTCGAACTTTCGTAACCAAGACAAAAAATTTAAAAGCTAGTTTGTTAACACCTACTTTTCGTTTTTTTTTTCCTTATTAAATGAAGACAAAACTTCAAAAATGGTTCCTGTGGTTTCCGAAAATATCAAGTTTAGTCCCTAAGTTCAAAAAACCTCATAGATGGTCCCTGTGGTTTCAAAACTTTTAATGTTTAGTCCTTCCGCCTAACTCCGTCAGCTTTCTACCGTTAAGTGAGGGGTATTTTCGTCATTTCAATATCCGGGGACCATTTATGAGGTTTTCTCTTACTATCTTAATTTTTTTATTAAAAAAAAAAGAAAAAATGAAAGAAATTTGATCTCTCTCTCACTCTCACTCTCACTCACACACACACACACACACACACACACTCTATCTCTCTCTCTCTCTCTCTCTATCTCTATCTCTTTCCTCATTGCTTTGAGACTTGTACAGTACGTATTCTTATAGCTTCATCTTCCCCAAAAAAGCCAAACCAACTTTGACCTTGAATAATCATCGTATCCATCAGATTTGGAAAGGAACAGACGAACGAAAGGCAGATCGATGGGAGGTCCGGTGCGGCTGGGAAATCATGAGGAGGGAAAAGGGTGTTCGTCGAGAATGATAACCCCTTGTTGGTTTACGCCTCTTCTTCATTGATCGGGAAAGGGAAGAAGGAACACGAATGGAAGCAGTCAAAATGGTGGTCTGATGGTTAAATAGATCGCAAGAAGGGAGTCGATCTCCGGCAAACTCCCCTTGGCTCTTCTCTCGGCGTCGACGATCACAAATCGAGCGGAATGGGAAACACTGGATCGAATGGAGAAAGAAGAATGGAAGCAGAGGTGGTTCGGTGGGGGGTTTGGACAATCGCCAAAATGAAGGAAGAAAACGAAGGCAACTTATGATGTTGGGTGACTGTTACAGCAAGGGGGTTGCTCTGGTGGCCTCCTTGGTCGTTCCTTCTCTGTTCCATTGGAAAAACACGAGGGAGGAAGGGAAGGAAACAACGAAGTAGCAGCGGAGGGAAGTAGCGATCCTCAGGGGTGTTTGGTTGTTTCCGATCAACAGGAGGAGGGGTGGAGGAGGGGTGTCCCCATTTCATCTTCTGGCTGCTCCGGTGACTAAAACGGAGAACCCGTTTCTTGATTTTGTGAATGATTTCATTGGGGTTGCTAATCGATTTCATGTCTGTTACTCAGGCTCAATTTCTTGGTGAACTTTTAAGGAGGAAGAGAAGGATGGGATGGGGATCGGAGTGTTTACCAGAGGAACCGGTGGTAGAATTTGGTGGTGACAAACGGTGAGGAATGATGCGATGGTGGGGGCAACGAAGAATGATTTGATTCACGAGAGAGAGAGAGAGAGAGAGAGAGAGAGGGAGAGAGAGAGAAATAAAGAGAGAGAGGGTGTTTAATATTAAATAATTATATTTATTTTTCTTTTTTTTAAAAAAAATTAAGGCAAAACTTCATAAATGGTCCCTGTGGTTGTGAAATGACAGAAATGTCATTCACTTAACGGCTAAATGTTAACGGAGTTAGCGAAAATGATCATTTGTTAAAAGTTTTGAAACCACAGGGACCATCTGTGAGGTTTTTTGAACTTAGGAACTAAACTTGATATTTTCGGAAAGCACAGGGACCATTTTTGAAGTTTTGTCTTAAATGAAACAAGCATAAGTCGGTTTAATACCGAGGCTCCCCGCCAATTCATTTTATCCTTTCTCAGTCAAGAACCCTAACTTTGTCACTCACAAATTTTCAGATCTCTTTCTACAATTTCTTCACGATAAATTTTGCTCTGAAATCAATCAAATGCCTGTAAATTTGTCATCGAACGGTATTCCAGCGATTCTCGCTGGCGACATGAATTCGAAGCCGTTGCTACAGATATTAGATATCAAACCCATCAATTCATCACAGGAGAGGTACCGTTTGATTCTCTCCGATTCCGTGTTGACTCAGCAAACGATGCTCGCTACGCAGCTTAACGATCGAGTCAAAAACGGCGCTGTTCGTGTAGGATCCGTTGTTCAACTCATCGAGTACATTTGCAGCACAATTCAAAATCGGAAGTACGTTCGTTTTCTCTTCAAACGATGAATTCTGTTTGTTAATTACCATGTGCTTGCTACTTGCTTATATATTATAACTGTTTGTGTTTGATTTTCTATAGAGATTAATGTAGATTTAGGGCTTAAAATTGAACAGGATGAACACTTCGGAATGAATTTATCATAGCTACAAGCCTTAGAGCACTGATAATGTAACTAAGCTGTAACGATTTCCTGGTCATGTATACTCTTAAATTGCTTGCCTTAATCTGTTTTTCTGTAGGTAGAACTATTGTCATCTATACATATAACTTCTATAGGTTTATACGAAATGAAATTTCTGTTCTCACATTAATAAATTGTTCTGTTTTTGTGGCACATAGAATGATAGTAGCTGTTGAATCATGAATGTATGAATCCCTCAGTTACACGTGCACAAGCACTATTGTGACTTGTTTGTGAGATTAAAAAATACACCATCTCTAAGTACACATGTGTGCTTGTTGCTTTGTGTTATATTACATCATGAATTTTCACTGTGTATGTATACATGTTAGTTGAATTCACACACACACACACACACATTGAGTTCTCAAAACTGCAACATCAAGCACTTGAAAGCCCTGAAAGTTTGAAATATATGTGTCCTAAATATTCTTTGCAGGATCATTGTTGTCCTAAACATGGAAACCATTATACCCGAATGTGAAATCATTGGAAACCCAAAGATGTTCACAGAATCCGACACCATCTCTCACAATCCACCTCCTAATGGCATCTCCCACCACACACCACCACCCTCTAACCACCGCCTAAATCCCACCAACACAACCAACAACATTCAAACCTTCCGCCCAACTGTCCAACCACCATACCAACCACCACCAATCTACAAACCCCACGGAGCAATCACAAAAAACGAAGCACCACCACGCATCATCCCAATCACCGCCCTCAACCCCTACCAAGGCCGGTGGGCCATCAAAGCAAGAGTCACCGCCAAAGGAGATCTCCGGCGATACAACAACGCGAAAGGGGACGGAAAAGTCTTTTCCTTCGACCTCCTCGATTCCGATTCCGGTGAAATACGTGTCACGTGTTTCAATTCTGTTGTTGACCGATTCTATGACACTATCGAAGTAGGAAAAGTTTATATCATTTCAAAAGGTAGTTTAAAACCCGCAAAGAAAAACTTCAACCATTTAAACAACGAATGGGAGATTTTTCTCGAGTCCTCTTCCACAATCGATCTTTGCACAGATGAAGATTCTTCAATCCCACAACAACAGTTTTCATTCAAACCGATTAGTGAAATCGAAACACTTGAAAACAATTCAATCATAGACATCATTGGAATCGTAACTTCAGTCGATCCTTCTGTTCCAATCTTGAGAAAAAACGGAATGGAAACACAAAGAAGGATTTTAACCTTAAAAGACCAATCAAGTTTCAGTGTGGAGTTAACACTTTGGGGGGATTTCTGCAATCGAGAAGGTCAAACCCTTCAAGAATTAGTCAACTCCGGTTTGACCCCTGTCTTAGCAGTCAAATCCGGAAAAGTCAACGACTTCACCGGAAAAACAATCGGAACTCTTTCATCAACTCAACTCTTCATCGATCCGGAATCTTCCGAAGCCGATAACCTAAGATCCTGGTTCAACACCAGGGGAAAAAACGTCATTTCCCAATCAATCTCCCGCGAAACCGGGTCGAAAACCGAGACCCGTAAAACCGTATCGCAAATCAAAGATGAGGGTCTCGGTCGATCCGAGAAACCGGATTGGGTTTCTATAAAAGCGACATTAATTTTTATAAAAACTGACAACTTTTGTTACACTGCATGTCCATTAACAATTGGGGATCGAAAATGTGGCAAGAAAGTGACAAAATCAGGTGGTTTAAAATGGCAATGTGATAGGTGTAATAAGGAATTTGAGGAGTGTGATTATAGGTATCTTCTTCAATGTCAAGTTCAAGATCATACTGGGTTGACTTGGGTGACTGCTTTTCAGGAATGTGGGGAGGAGATTTTGGGGTGTCCTGCAAAAGAGCTTTATGTGATCAAATATGAAGAACAGGACGATGAACGTTTTGGGGAGTTGATTAAAAGTCGGCTTTTTGCTGAGGTGGTTTTGAAGTTGAAAATTAAAGAGGAAGTGTATGGGGAAGAACAGAAGGTGAAGATTACTGTTGTGAAGGTTGATAAGGTGGATTATGGTTCTAACACCAAGTTTCTTCTGGATTCGATTAAAATGAAGAGGTAAATTTTGTTGATTAATTGAGTATTGTTTTTTACATTACTGATTACTAGATATAGTTCTTTGCATTCGAATTAATTTGGCACTTTAGTTGATATATATCTATATATATATATATATATATATATATATTATATATATATATCTATATCTATATATATATATAGGAATTATAATATGAATTGTTGCATTCATTTTTACTAATTGGAAGGTTACTTTGTGATAGATGTTTGAATGATTGTTATCTTTTGTGTGGAAGTTTCTATCAGAAACCATTTCCGTATGATTGAATGAAAATAGTAGACTCGATGACAAGCTGAGAAATTTTCCAATATGGGAGTTACAACCATCAAAAAGCCATAAAGAAACACTAAATTTACAAAAGACTGGATAATCTTGTGAATACATGGGCTTAGACACAAACTAAACATTTCAAATCATTTGTTCACTTGTCAATTTACCAAACATTTGGTAAAGATAGTATCTTTCATTCCAAACCATTTATATAAAAAATGTTTAATGCAATGCATGATTCAAACATAATGAAATCTAACGAATCGGTGAACAAGTTCTATCCTACCAAAGGGACACTAATGTAGCAAGATGTATAGAACGAATCATCCCTTAAATGGTACATCGATACGAAGGTTGCCACTTTGCTTCAAAGCTTGTTCTTAAGGGCTCTCTCCTTGTTTCATAACATGTTCCTTGAAGGAACTAGACAACTACTTTGCGATGAGAAATATCATCTCAGTACTGTCTTAAAGGATTCTAGACATGATAATTTGTGGTCATTCAAGTCACACTGATATGACATACAACGGATCATACTTTCTTTCTCAACATCACCAATTCACACATAAAGTGTCATGATGTAATATATGATAAATGATAGAATAGAATCTCACTTTTTCATCAAAATTTTCTACTTGCATTCTCCAAAATTATGCATACACATACAAATCGCACATTGAAGCTTCACTCACGGTTCTAGAAAGTTTTGGTAAGAAATGTGGCTTCTAATAACATTAAACACATCATGCAAATGTTGGTCAACAAGTAAAACCCAACCTGAACCTGGTTGACCCTATACGGTTTACGCACCCCTTAAGGCAAGACATGCATGGTCCGCGTACTGGATGCACACGAGTCCCATGTTTTTGTCAACTTACTTGGTCCATGTGGATTTGGTTCTAAGGTATACTCGGTTCACGTATTAACGTTGGTGATCCTGTTTTACCCCCTTTTCATACCCAAATATCCCATCAATCATCATATTTCATTTCTAGATCATTAAAATACTTAAACAAGCCTTATAAACTTCATTCATGATACTTAATTGTATCTACATGTAATACTTGCTAATAATCCTTTATGTCTTCTCCACACCCTTGATTCTTTAAGCTAAATATGGTAGTTTACATTCGTATTCCTTGAAACACTAAGTTCCTAAGGCTCCGTAGAAAATAATTGATGTTCATAAGTACATTTCACAGCTTGTTATCCTTATTTACTATTCAATTGTCCAAACCCCATTTGTCCATCTTCATTGAGAATAGCAATGTACTTTGTTTTTTTTTTTTTTTTTTTTTCATTTCTTGTATGAACACCTATTATTTCATACCATTTTTATTCTAAGACATATTATAACATGTTTGAACATAGTTCTTACCTTCTAACATGTCTAAACATAATTCTTACCTTTAATTGGTATTTAAAGCATATTTTCTATTATTTACCAATTTCTCACTAATTGCATCATTTTCCAAAAAGTTATGATTTCTGTAACATCCGTTTTTCGAGGCTAAGCATTAATTCGATAATGTAATAGTCAAGGTCAACCATTGTAACATATTTTAAAGTAATAAAGATGAATTACTTGAATATTATGTGTATTATGTTATTTTATGTGATTATATACTTGTTTGTAAAGATATAATAAAAATAAGCGTCAAAAATAAAATATTAGATAAGCCTGATATCTATGAAGAAAGTTGTAGTGGTCGTGACAAGGATTCCGATGACATATAAAGAACGACAAAATCCGAGTTATAACGAAGAAGTTATGGCATGTCGAAGTTTTACGGCTAAACCGGCACGACACCGCGTAACGTAAAAAGTGAATTTTTGACAAATTACTTTTTTTCCTTAGCGATCTAAACGAAACTCGTAGTATACGTTAAACCGAGAGCGTGCATAAAAAGAACGTCCAAATCTGACTTTGTATGAGGAAGTTATGAATTTTCTAAGATTTATCATAGCAATGCACAACTCGGAATTCGAATTTTAGATCAACCGATTTTTAGCCGACACAACCTAAATGAGAATTGGAGATCTCATTAATAGGAACTCAACGATAAGAAGACAGTCGAAAACGGAGTCTGTATGTAGAAGATATGAATTTTACACGGTCGTTTAACAGTGTAATCTTCTCATACTGTTAAATTTAAAATCGGTCAAGAATTAGCCGATGGAGTCAAAAGGAAAGTTATAGATCTTGTCATTACCTACGCGTGGATATAAAGAACGTCAAAAACGGAGCTTGTATGCGAAAGTTGTGAATTTTTTAAGATTGGTTGTTTTATCTGCGTCTAACGCCACGTGTCAGCACCAGACGAAGCCTTGGTGCCCACGCAAAGCCACGACGTGGAACGCCCCCAGACAACCCCAAAACCCACACCAAAACCATTATTTCTCTCCCATTACCCCCAAAACCTCTCTTCCATTCCCTAGTACTTCCTAAGTGCTAGAAGCGAATCCCGGAGCGCCCGAAGGTTCCAATAAAAGAGTTTTTCGGCTCAAAACTCTGCCCTCGCAAAGCCCGATTTTCAAGCAAAACTCCCGGTTTCGTCGAAGCGAAGCGCTGTCCAAGTTGGAATCACCACCTTATCAAGTGAATGCATAGTTACTTTCATCTTACGCATAGATATGAAGTATGTTATATAAATTACGTGTTATGTGTGCATATTCTCTGTTTACTTGAGATCCGTGCTAGATGAAAGATCTAAACTTCTTTCTTTCAGATCTGAACTCTTTCTCTCAGATCTGAACTTTTTCTTTCAGATCTAAACTTTTCCTTCAGATCTAAACCTTTTCTTTTTAGATCTAAGACTTGTTCTTCATATCTAAACCGTATACGTATTTTTTTTTGTTAGATCTAAACCTTTTTCTTCAGATCTGAATTGTATATGTATTTTTTTGTCAGATCTAAACCTTTTTCTTTCAGATCTAAACTGTATATGTATTTTATACTTTGAGATCTATGTTGGGTGAAAGATTTGAACTTTGTTTTTCAGATCTAGACTATATATGTATTTTATATCTACAAATATGTTGGGTAAACATGGGTAGATGAAATAGTTGATGTTTCGTGAAATAAAATGATGAGAGGCGTCGATGGTGACGATGATCCAGTCATCTAGCGCAGTATGGATGACGATTACAAAATTTTCTAGGAAGTCCAGTGGAACGCTTGCAGGCTCGCGACCTGTAGGTGTTTGTGAACGATGTGTTCACCGGTGTACTCCATCCCCCTCATGGTTGCCTTACGGACGTATATGGCTGAGGAATCCCCTTAGCAGTAGTGTCCATCCCAATGAAATTCCTTAGGATAGGTCCCTTATAATAGATGTTTTAGGGACGTAAAGTGAGGATAACGGGAACGAATAATCGGGTTGAATGATTGTTGAAAATTAATAAACTTATTTTTTGTAGGTTGAAAACCCTATGTGCTCACCAGGCTCCCCAACCTGACCCACTCAGTTTCTTCTATTACAGGTAGCGACACAAGAGCATAGATGCGATGATCTGATGATAGATTATGGATTATAGGCCAGTAGAAATAAATAGAAATATTGTAAGGCCTATGTTGTTTTTTGGTTTATGGTTTTGATCTGTATTGACGATGACATCCCGAGTTTTCTAATGTAATGAAAATACATTTCTTCAGAAATGATTTTATCTATATTTTATGGGAACGAATTCGGCAACATTTTTCTTTAAAAGTATACTATGATTTTCAAATAAAACATAAACAAATCGGTCTTTTCTGGCCGTGAAAATAGGGATGTCACAACTTCCTATGTAATAGCCAGTTATTTCGGGTCAATAAAAGTCAAACAAGTCAAACCAAAGTCAAAGCAAGTCAATTATGCCAACAAAAGTCAAGTAGTTAAAACTTAAATCATGAAAATTCACATTTGCTTTTAAGGTTTTCGGTTTTGGGAATCAAAAATCACCAAGACCGAAATCACTTCTCGCCCGAAATCAATTAGGACCGAAGTCATAGCCTTGACCGAGAACCCCTAGACCGAGAACCCCTTTAGACCGAAGACCTTGGTTCTCGGTTGGAGTTTGGACCGAAATCAAGGTGATTTTAGTGGGGATAGGCCGAAATCACCCACTTTATCCGATGTCACTTCTTCAAATGTGATAAAATACACATTCCAATGAAAACATCACATCATTATCACCCCCTTATATGTATATCTAGCCGAAAACACCCTTCATAATCCCCATTTTCATCTACAAATCTTCCCACTTTTCTCTCAACGAATTCATACATCTTCATATCTGCATACATCCCCAGAAGCATCTTCAAACTTACCCAGGAAACAATTATTCAAGATTGATCCTTAAGAACTTGTTGTAAGTTCTTTTCTTAAATCTAAGGGTTATACAACACTTTAATTGATAGTTCATCTAATTTACACATTTTATTATGTGTTTAAAACTATTAGGATACGACTATCTTCACGTGTTTTAACTTGAAGAACATTATTATCATTTCGTTATCCATCCAAGAACACACTCGAGGTGAGTTCATACCCCTACATTTTTCAAGATTTTTCTATGTTTTAGGGGGGGGGGGGGGGGGGGAATACAAGTAAAACACAGGAAAACTTGTGTTAATATACAAATCGTTATATATGCTTTCTTATATTTTATACGAAAAATGCTAAAATACATGAAATATCGTTACCTCCAAATTCAGGAACGTATACATACAAAGTTTTCGTACAAATATGCTATGGTTTTCTTACAATATATATATATATATATATATATATATATATATATATATATAT